CACAGATCAGAAAATGCGAAGGCCAATATTTCACAGTTTTTAGCTACTGGGTTTCCGAGCGATTTTGCTACAGACGAAATACTGCAAAAGCGCATGACTGCACAGGCCCGCCTTGTGAGCGTCGCCAATCGTTTTCTCAGATGCACCGACGATTAGAAGCAAAATAATAACTGGACAGAGGCCATGCTTAATCACCTGAAATTGCTTAATTATCTTTGTAGGGGAATGAATTTGCTCGCATTCAAATGTTGCCTTACCAGCAGACCAGTAATTATGATCGAAAGATGCCTACTTTTCGCCTCATCGACGGGCCATCTGTAAGGCAAGGGCGCCTACAAGCGAAATTTCGGGGCCGTTGGCGATCGGTGTGCACGAAGCTTACGAAGTGAGCTAGATGTTTCATTTTTAGCCTAGATTGTTTCATTTGTACACAAGCTTTTTAGAAATGACATTATCGTATGGACTTTTTCGTCTTTACCAATGCTGTGAACCTTGGAGCAAGTACATGTCTGTGTCGAATTTTGAAAATATTCAATGGTAATAATAGGCTAATGTTATGACTATAACGTATCGCACGGCGTCCGCAACATACAGTGTGTGCTTTGCACCAGAGTTTAGGGTCCCTAGTTGTCGGGTCAGAACTTGAGCTTAACAAAATATTTTCTTAGAGAACATGTAGTATTTAGCATCGCAGATCTCTGCTTTGCAGATATTTGTAAACCTCGAGGTGACCTTTTCATGTTTTTTCCTTGGTGAAGTTGTGTATTGTTATAGCAGTGCCGGTTAAATCAAGTTTTTGAAAATGTGCTTGTTATCATTATCGGACGGTTTTAACCTGGAATTTGTTTACCAGAGCTTTTTGACTTATCCTCAGTAGCACGTCCTTCTAAATATGATTGGTTAAAAAAGCGGTCAAAAAGCTGTATTACAGTTTGGTCGAGAGATGAGGATGTGAGCGGCGAAGCGTGTGATGTGTTCAAATGAGCCGGAGTTGCTTTGCTACTTGGATGAGTCATATGTAAATTCACTAGCTAGGTCAGACTAGCTGGTTAAAACTATCATCGGCGCGACTGGAGTGAGGAGGCTCATCGTATTAGCGTATGTAGACTGTTCGGAGTGCTGTCAATTGTCATGCCAGGGCTGCGTCGTTTGGTTTTCTGAAAACTTTCACACTGATCAGCTGTTTCTAATTCTGG